CATCGGCACGGGTTGCTCTTCCCCATATTCACGGCTTGCTCTTACCTGGCTGGGCACATGTGAGGTCTCTGCATCCAGGACTACGCTGCTGGGGGGGGGCAAGGACGGCCATTAGAGCTAAAGGAAGCCAGGTTGCCTCCCCACCCCACCCAGCACAGCCCTCCTCAATTCCCCTCCCGAATTTTAGCCGGGCTCTGCGGCACGTGGCCACACATGATGCCCACACTGAAGGCGGAGGAGAGGGACAACGTGCTGTCTGCATGCCTGGGCTGGGCTCAGACACCACAGTGAGGGGCTGCAGGGAGCTCCCGGGCGCTGGGTGCTCCCCACCGCGCGCTCCTGTTGAAACACAGAGAGAAGCAATGCAGTGCAGTGATGTGCCTGTGAGTAAAGGACCTTTTCTGGGGAAAATTACTGCTCCAGAGGGAGAGGAAACCAGGATAAGGCAGGTAGATAAGGCGGTTCGCTCGTCTCGGGGTGCAGAAGGAAGACGTGGTGGGTACAAACCTGGGGGTGCCAGAAGTCCCTGCACAGCACCGCAGAGGGATGGGCAAGAAGCTGCCCGTGGCCGCCTGCCTGGCCGGGCACTGGCTCTCCACCTCGCCTCTGGCTTCCTCCTTGTACATGCAAAGGGCGACGAAGAAGCCGAGGAGGAGGAGGAAGCAGAGCGCTACAGCTGCAGCCACATGCGGGGAACCAGGGCTGTCTCTGTGGAGATACAAGTCAGAGTGAGGAGAAGGTGGTAGGTGCGGGGCAGCGCCGGACCCCGCCACGAGCAGGACGGGGTCCCCTGGAGCAGCGCCCCACTGGGCTGCACTCACCCTGCAGGGATACCACCGTGCCCCGCCCATGCTGAAGCACCTCATCATCACCAAGCAGCGATTTCTTGAACTTCACGCAGTAATAGGTGCCGGCATCCTCGGGGCGAACATCCCTGATGTGGATGCTGAAGTCCGTGTCGGACTCGTTCACTACCCTCGTCACGCGGGGGAAGGAGCCCTTCTGCTCATAGACGGTCTTGTTCCCGCTGCCCAGGCCCTTCAGCCACCTCACAGCGCCAACGGGACCGCCTCCGGACATGGTGCAGGTCAGGGTGAGCGTCTCCCCCGCTGCCACCAACTCCTTGTCCCGGGGCTGCTGCAGCTCGAAGCCCTGGACACCCGCACCTGGGGAAAAAAAACAGACTGAGTCTCATCTGGCACCACACACCCGGCCCGGCTCCCCGCCTGCCCCCCCGGCCGCGGGACCGGCTGAGCACACAGCTCTGGTTAGAGGGGCCCCC